TGACCCACTAACCTGCCATAAATTCAAATGTCAGTGTGGTGGAAATAACGCACAGCACCGAGAAAGTTTTCAAACAAGACTAAATCAGTGAGGCAGGAATGGGAAAAATTTGTAGAAGCCGAGGATGGTCGTCTATTTGGTTTCTAGTCGTGAATGAAATGGGGTTGGGCTCACTGAATGAGCGGTTGAGTTGATTACTTAGAGTGCTCAACGATATGGAGGGTTTTTGTTTGGCAATCTTACTTTCTGTTAAGCGCTAAACACGAGTCTGGTGACGGTACTGTGATGAGCCGAATGTGATCCACCATCACTGGGATATCGCTTGACGAATCAGATAGCGAAAGAATGATGCTAGTAGTTATTGGTTTGTTAAAACCACCATATTGACGTATTGGTTTCAGATGAATGCGTAACAACTACGGTTGCAACCGGGAACAAAAAATCTGGACCCTGCTACTGATATCACGTGTAATTCCATTCCCGGAGGATCGTCGGAACCCATTGGGCCTAATGCGTGAGAGGGTATAGCGCAAGTTAGCCCAGGTAATGAAAAACAAAGAACATATTTGTCATGAAGTTGGCGATAAATTGATGACATTTTGGACCACTCATTAGACTCGACTTCGGCTAGTCTCGTTGCTTTTTCTTTCTTGGCAAACCACTGAGAATGTGTACATGCAACATATTCGTGCGGCCACAAGCAGCTATCAAACCATTTGGAGTACATTCAGGGATCGCGGGACGAACTAAATCTTTATTGTCACACAACGTATTGTGAATCGAACGCATGAACTGCGAAGTCAGAGAAACCTGCTGTTCATAAATGAAAATCGGCAATGAAGGACCCGCTACTCAAAGGGTAAACCCATATTGACGTGTTTTAGAACCGGGAAATAGCTATGTTCTCTTTCATCAATGCATCCGCATCCAGAAATTTATATTATTCCATAAATGCAAATGGAATTAATCTGAATCTGAAACTAGACCTTTTCTAGACAAGCTGTAGCTAACACTCACAATTAGTTAACTGTCACTTGCAATCCTTTAACCCCGGCCCAGCCAAAACAAATAGTTATTTAACTTAAACGCCCACGCTTTATCTGTATCACTGTAAGCTTGTCAGGAATATGCCGATGTAAGCTGGAAATTTTTATTCCCTACAAAGGCTGATATTACAAAGCTGAGGAGGAAGATGTGGTGATCGTAACCTGTGAAGCTAGCCATCGTGACGGTACCAAATGATGCACCGTAAATTGACGAGAAAGGGTTTTGACTATGTGACTGTATAGTCAAACCATTTAGTACATCCGGTATGGCTGCGGTGTTTTCAGTGAAAGAAGTGGATCTTTTTCTTTCCATTCATATTGACAATATTTGTATTTTACAAACAGCAGATTCAACATGATGAATATTACTGTCACCCGTTGCGATGGTATGTTTACGGAGCCCTATTGGAGGAGAAGAATTGAATAGCGTATGACCGTAACACAGGGAGAAGGTATCTAAAATGCACTCACTATTCAATTAAGTAGAAATCTTAATTGTAACAAAAGCGGTTTATTGTTTCGCATTGAGAAGCCCCCGGTGATGCAGTACAAAATTAACAGCTAGCATTCCATTAATCCCATCTGAAGAGGACTGCGGTTAAAGAAGTGGATGCTTTGAGAGTAAGAGGACAATAAACACAGTTGATACACTTACTAACCCATTAGTATCATCAATTTATTTACATTGCAAAGTTTGACTCAATAGTGACAGTTAGGTGTGCAGTCCGCGATCGCCACACCTTCCTCCTGGATCGTCAAGCTTTGCAAAATCAGCCTTCGTCGGTAATGCAGTTTTTCAATATTCATTGAACTTAGAATATTCCGGTACTTCTTGATCTGACACGCTTAAAGCGAGATGGATAACGTTTGTGCGTGGGGGCTAAAGGACAGGGTATATGGACTGAAAAACTATGAATGAAGGCCAAATAATTGTGGGTTTCGGCTGAAGCTATAGATGTGAAAAGGTGCGTGGAACATGTGTGACTACTTCAGGAAAGATCAATTTTTCGGGGAAGAATTTCAGTCTGATGGATGAAGTCAACTGTCACTGTCTTTGTGCTGATCGTAGATTGTCCGCTTGTTGAACATTTGTGCTCCGGTATAGGTGGATAACAATGATGCAACAGTTGTAAATAAAACAATTTCACCTGTTTAGTCAGCGTATACTCGCTGAAAAACTTTGTAAAAAACTTTGTAAACCGTTTGCACACAAGAGACCAGATCGATGAAATGTGTGTTTATTGTTAGCCAGAGTGGCTTCAAAATAACATACTTTATACGTTGGCTGTTGTTCTTGTTAAAGCTGGTTGACCGTTAAGCTTGGAAGCAGCTTCAAACCGTCTTGGATAATCCCCACGCTTTGCGAGTGACAAGCGTGGTTCCGTTTCTTCTCAACTGAGATAGATATTTGGTTTAGCGGAATCCAAGTACAGCACAATCCTCCGTGCTTACACGTCTTAAAAAACGGCGAGAATGAGTGTAAACTACTGTACCAAAACTCTTCTAAATATAAAATATATAATATATAAAATGGTTTATCATTGGGTAAATTGAATTGCATAAAGGTCAGAGAGAGGAAGGGGGTATCACCTAAGCGATTTGTGGTTAAACCTGTCTCGCTCAAACACGCAATGATTTAATAACCTCATTGTGGTTGGTAATTGAACGTTTATTGTGCGCGCCGGCTGAAATAGGTGATCCCATTCGGATCTGTGCTGACAACGTCTACGGTGTGGTGTGTGCAATTCGCGAAACAGAATGTTCTATGTTATCAAATGTTTTGTGTAAAACCCAACTTCGGGGCACCGAATAATTAACTATTCTGTCCTGATCAGGTACTATTGTCCTGATCGGGACTCGAACACCAAACCTTCCGGGATGGAGATCAACCAATCCCCACCCTCACTCCAGAGCTGCACAGTTGACGATCAACACTTACACTTGAGATTTCACAGACACGGGGTCTGTGCGTTTGCTGCCTTCCGTGGGCTAAAGAGTAAGAGCTTCTGCTGTTAACCGGCAGGATAACGAGTCGATTCCTGCATGGGACGTAAAAGTGGCGCCTAAACAGGGACGGAACATATTAACAAAATGTTGAAAATTGGTTCTCGGAGCTACGAGAACCAAGGACGGAACACACATCCGGTGAGTGTTCTTCGTTGGCTTTCCCATGGGTCAACCGGAATACCAAAATGTGGAGACTTCAGTGAACTTCCATGAAGGGAGACGCACAATAGAGGAAATGAACCACACACAAACCACCTGCCTATGCATTCAGTTATGATTGGAACAAAAGCTGTATTGTCTCTAATGTGATAGGTCTTTCTGTGCGTGGCTAATGTTATCGAGATTTCTGTGCTATACGTACATGTTACAGTAAGCTATTGATTGATTGATTGATTCATTCATTCATTCAGTGGGATCGATCATCCATAAGACTTCACGTTATCTAACTAACCTCGGTTCATTCAGTCAACCACACACCCGGGGAGCGCTGGAGTCGACATAAATTGTAATTCTACCTCTTCTGGATCACTTTCAAACATACTGCTTCTATTTAGAATGGAAATTTGTATCTAAAATGCATATCATCAGTTCAAGTATCTGAATGACAGAATAAAAGATCACTGATTACGCATACATGATGACGGTCAATGATCGCAAAACCGGTTGTGTGCCTTCGAGGAAATTTCATCTGATTATTCAGATACTACTTACATAAATGTATCGATAAACAGAAAGAGTTAGGTGAACTAGGAAGAATGCTAAGCCGATTGAAAGTGTCTTCACTAAAATGTTGCAATCCGAACCAAGGTCCATAATCAACCGTCAAATATCTACATCGAAGGATATCGTATCACTACTTCAAACAACTCGAGCGATTTTCTTTTCCAGTTCAAGTTTTTGTCACTGTACCTATTTTCACCGCCTCCAAGTTGAAATATCAGTATAACAAAGGGGGCATTCAACCAAATATATGCAACACAAACACGCTCATCACCATTCACTCGTCGTTGGGTCTAGTTACCCAGTGATATGTTAGTCTTTGAAGGCATGGCGAAGCTGAAGCGGGATTGGAGTGCGGCAAAACCAGTCATAAAATTGTTCCCCTTTTGGTGCTGGTAGTTCGGTACGACCGCCACCACCATACCCACTGTCACCCCAACCCCATCCCTCCAGTTCAGCACATGTGGTTCACGCATCCTTTCCCGGGTTCCAAATATTGAACAAGAAACGCGAGAGACTAGCCAATCCGTCATATACAGTCCATCCAAGGGCCAATTAGGATCAGTGCGAGTGTTCACAAGAGACACCGGAAAATGTGTACGCTTTTGTTGGCCTGTACTCGGCTGTACAGGTCCCTCAGTATACAAACACACATACACAGAGACTGTTGTGCGCGGCCAGTTTGCCTGTTCAGGTACCGTCGTAGGGTCACAGGATGCGGACCCGAGTGCATGTGCATCCTTCCACTTTGTGTGCCTCATCAACACGCGTCCTCCCCTCGGTCGCCGTGATGCCTAATTCATATCGTGAAAATCCCGACCGCGCCTGAGACGATTCGGGACCAAATTTTTTTTTCAATTCCATGATACTAGTAACTCAGAGTCTCACAATGATGTGTTTCCGTACCTAAATGTGCGTCCAGTCGTACACAACCGAAGAGTATAAATGAGGATTCCCCGTCCGACTGGACACAAAATTAAATCCACGATAGTTTGTGAAACGACCACTCCTTCAATTTCTCTCGCTCACTCTCTCTCTCTCTCGCGAGCGGGCTCACGAGCCCACGTGAACTACCCGTATCAAAATGAGATTAGAGCCTGTGCTAATTGTCATCTGAAATCAGAGACAAATATTTCTTTTGTGTAAACGCGAAAATAAACACGTGCTTGTGTTTGTGTGTGTGTGTATGTGCATCCGTATCCCGTCCACTCCAATCGGAGGAACCAGATGACAACACCGGTGGGTCGAATTAGACAATTTGTGGAGCGTTGCGTGCATGCGCAACCGTCATACACAGTCTACGGTTCCGGACTGAACGTGGCCGTCAATGAATCGGATCAGAGTTTGGTATGTGATGCCGCAGTCAAACAGGTCACAGTCACACTGGAGAATAAACTGTTATGGGACAGATTTAATGCATTGAAAACGGAAATGATTGTGACCAAATCGGGACGGTGAGTTGGTTCGCCGCTTCTCATTGATCATACGGACACTATGTGGTCGATTGCGCTCGCTCGATCACTACCGGTCACATTATTTTCCTATAGAACTTCTGATTGATCACGGTGGATTTGTGAATGTTGAAGTTCAAACCGATAATCTCATTACAGCCATCCGGGAGATTTAATTAACCATCCATTATGTTTATCGTGAGAAATGAAGCAGTGTTCGAAATCACTGTTGCGAAAAACCAACCGGTAAAGGATCACGAGCAACATACATTATTGGTATTTGATATTACTTTATGACTACTTCGACTCATTATCTATCCAATTAGGATATTTATGTATTTTTTCAGTTATTGTTCAAGGGCTTTGGGTTACTATCACAGGCACACCTGTATTGTTAGGGGTAAGTTTTGAAAGTGACACTGATATCAAACTTAACTGGTAGGCAGCAGCTTCACGGCCATGTGGCTCATTTTTATGTCAAATTCCATGGAGCTTTAGATGGTTTACTACACCAAGTTCCAGGAATTCGGTTGTTATTCATTATGAATGAAGATGGAATCCTCCTAATTCTGAAGTTTACTCCTTCTCTTTTATGTTACTACGACTGATACTGCTAATACTAACAATAACCTTTTAATTCACTTCCGTTCACTGAATATAACATATAAAGATGCTAGCAATTTTCAGGCTGAAGATTGGGGCCAATAAAAGACTGTCTGGACAAAAACAGAACTGGGTAAGATGACCAGGATTAGAAGTCCTGCTTACTGGGTCATTGAACTGGCGACCCTAACCACTTGCTGACCACGATTATCCATTGCAGACTGGTGTGCAATACAAAAGTTCAATACAAACGGCCTCATCAGTGCTGCTTCCGAGTTTATCAACGGTGCATCGATAACTATTGTCGCACTACTATAGAAATTCTACTGGAGGAAAAATGTTCAATATTTTTAAGGAATTTCAAGAGATCATTCTGGTCAAATAACCCCCTGGCGTGTTCATATCTTACCAGTATCAATTTATGAATTACAAGTAAACGGTCAACTCACTGAGACTCCATCCATTTTACTACATGAATTTGGCAGACAATCTTTCAGAATTCATCTTCAAGCACAAACTTTAGTTCATCCGGTCAACCGTCCACTGGAGAAGCACTAGCTCATTTCACCCTGAAGTTTCATTTAAGAATGAGTGCCTAAATTAGAAAAACAACGAATGTATTTGAAGAAGCTGTTTAGACAAACTAACTAAATGCCTGTCATAAAATCAGACCTATCAAAATGATTCAATCGATAATTCTAGTCCCCCCACGGACACATTGCTCGATATAATGAAGAGAAAAAATTCAAACGGGACGGTAGATATGCCCTATTAATGATGATATGCATGACTGGCTGGGCGAACGGAGAATTGTGTGTGGAAATATGATCTTAGGGGTGGTGAGGGGAAATTATCAATCATACCTCACTCTGCTTTTCACAAATAATTATGAACTAAAATGTAAATCTTGATAACCTCTCCTAATAGAATTTTTCGAAACAAAGCATTTCTGTATGTATGAGATGAAGTCTGTGGATCAGGAAATCGACCGGATGGGTAGAACGCAGTAGGTTACACCAACTAATCTGACATAAATTGAGTGCTTTCGAGTGTCTTTTTTTTCGGCTCAGTTCGGTTTCCAATTCTAGAACATGATCATTTTAGAACTTTGCATTTGTCCCTACATCTCCAAGCCCTCATTTCACATGGGTTAAGTGAAAATTAGTCGGTGGGATATGTTGGAGCCATAGATAATTTATTTTTGCAGTATGCAATTAAGAGGGTGATAGTCTGTATTATTCAAAAAGAGAGAAAAAAACCCAAAAAACACGATTATTTGGTTATCTAACTATTTAACACCCTGTGAGGATAAACTTCAACGAAAGTCAAAACCTCAGCACCGTCAATTTAAGTACTTTGTCGATCCAAAATTTACGAGCACAACGCGCCCTTCCTTGAATAACGTCTAACCCACTTTCGCAATGTTTTTCTCAAATTGGCACTAACTTTGCCGTGACTGGCTTAGTTTAGTCCGTGGGTGTCTCCGAAATTTGCGATCACAAAACACCATACGAAGTCTCGTGTTAGAGGGGAAAACCCTTTTGGAATGAAGCCTACATATTGCGATATATACACTTCCTGATATAAAACAAAATCTACGCATTGAATAGACTAGTTTAATAACTGGGTCCGTCACGGATTGAATCCAAATTAAATTGAATTGTGTCGCATACGGACCAGGAGAAGTGTAGAGTGGAAATGCTGTAAAGCTGTTTCCACTTGATTGGGTCTCATTAGCAGTGCGAATCCATCGACCCGACTGAGGATCGAACGGGGAACCTGTGAGGTCTCATTTTGTGAAGCCTATGGGTGTAATGTAAAAGAAACATTAATATTATTTTGATACAGTGGAACTCTTTGTTATGATGACAAATATTTCCGTCGCATTTAAATGCATTGCACTGGTGGCGAGTTAATGATCTCCCAAGGAGTGAAATCCGTACCCAAGATTATCAACAGTGCCTGGTGCCTGTGCTGTGACAAAACGGAATGGGCTTTTCCAAACATTCATCGTCTTAAAATCATTTTGGTTTCATACTGAATAAATATTCGAAAAATAGTCGACAAAACAACTAGGAATGTGGCGGTCTAAACATTCATTTTCTGTTTTATTCAATCAGTTACTGTCTTGATCCAACCAATAAGCGAATCGAGGAGATTCGAACCCGAAATTGATTAGAAATCAGATAAACAGTGCGAAACTATTTTTTTAATTTTGAAAATCAATAGGAAAGAATAGAGCAGACTATTAAATCGTTCCCATTTGGACAAATCTTGTACGGCATATAACCGTACCGGCAAATCTGATCCGATTCTGTCTCTGGTCACCTCTTCTTAGTAAGTTTAGGAAACTAACAGTTTGAATGAGACTAGTAAATTTTATTTTTAGTTATCAGAATGATTGCTATTCTAGTGATCAAAAGCTTTGAAATATGCATTCGTCGAGCATATGTTTGTTAAAGTCTCTGTTTTTTTTTAATTGTACAATATTGCGGAATGCCTACAGTAAAAGGGTAGCCACAAGAAGCACTGATCATGTAAGAAAAATCTGTGAATTAAAGTTGTGAGTCCCGCAAACGTCGCCAGGTGAGGTGAGCTACGGAGTCCGGCGACAATGGAGCCACCATATACCACAAATTTTGGATGGGGATGGTAGGACTGAGGCCTCGGAATTAGCAGTCAAAAGGGTGCTTGTGAAAGTAACTGGAATTGCTTGAATTGTGTTTTTGGAGATGGAGATGTGGCGCGGGGATACAATACAATTATCACCGAAATTTCTAGAATAAACTGTATTACCGTGACACGTTTGTTCGAACCCGTCAGTAATGCGTACGCATGATGGATTAAATTCTAATTTCTATGTTTTAGATGACATTTACTATCCTGAATTATTAATCCTTATTGTTGTCACCGTTTTAAATGATCGTTCCGATTGACATTTACAAATGCTCTTTCCGGCAAAAATCTGACTCAATTTATTTAACTTACTTATCAGCACTGTTTTATCGTTTTTGGCTGAACAAAAATTGACCATTTCTGTCACAATGAACCCAGTGAAAGAATGGCTAGCAAGCAAGCAATGTATGTTTATACATTGCTTTTTACACTGGAATGGTCTTGATCAGGGGTCCCATTTGGTAAGCACTGATTACTACTCATCATCATCAAGGATTTTCGCGTCTATTTGATGCCCAGTTTTTGCGCATTGAATCATGAGTCGAGGTTCGACGCTATCGTATATCCGTGCACACGGTGTACATATGTGGCACAAGTAAATTACAGTGGAGATTATTGCAGTCAACGCCAAGTGATCTGAAACCGTAGCTGGTAAACGTGACATAACAGACCGCACGGGGGAAGTGAAAAGAAAACATGTGTGCAGGTGAAATAAAATCGACAAGAACTGACTAATAACGGACAGAGTCAGACAAAGTTGAATCAAAACGTTTTGTCCAGATGTGAATTTCAGCAAGGCACAATGGTCACTTCAACATGCTCTGATTTCGATATTCAAGGAGATGAGGTAGATGGTATCTGCAACTGCCTATTTATTTGGCTGGGGACTGCATCACACGGAATGAACAATACGGTCGAGTTCAGTTTGGATGATCCGAATAATTGTGTAATATTGACCCGAAATCAAGGCAAAGTCCAAAGTTTTGGATACCGCAGCAGTTGTGATATGGAGTGAAATTTCCGCTGGTGGAAATTCTTATTTATCAGTTATGGAAAATACCCAATCGGACATGACAGTCATACAATGGAATTCGTAATTATTATTGCGTTTTCGCCGTGCCATGGACAGCTTGGTATTGACACGATTTTCGATGAGGATAACTCGTCAATGCGCTGTGCATCTAATTAGATCCCAAACATCGTTCCGTACAATTCAAACAATCGATCCGTTAGAACATAATCCCTATGACAGACCATTGGGTTTTTTTGGGTAGACGCGTGTACAAAGGAGGATAAGTTGTTCTAAGGCAACCAAACGGAAGCTAGTAATAATCCTTCGTTGGGTAGCATTGGAGGTAGATGTTTTGGAAAGGTTGATAGAAAGCATACCGAAAAACTGTATTTTGATGGCAGAAAAAAAAGTTTCTTTTTTTGTCCCTACCTGTGTGACTTTAACAGGGGTTTGAAAGGCTGGAACGTATTTAATGCACTCAATAGAAGCTGGTGCCTAGAGTAGTTCAGTTTATGCAAACATTGTCCACGCAATTTCATGCGGCGCTTTTGACTGTTATATTTCAACTGTCCATTTGGATGAAGGAGTAGAAAGAAGAATGATAGAAATAATACAATGAAGACATTTGCAGAGAGTGTTCAGGAACTTCCCCACATATGCGGCGTTAGGCTTCCTGGATGGAGATCTCGAGGACGATATGACTATATCGACTCGTCCGTCTAATTATCACTTTTCTCAGTATTTAGATTGTCAGAAATAATTAAATTTTTAAGGTTTAAGGTTTTAGCGTAAAATTTTCGGGATCATTGGGAAAAGGATCGATGACCTTCATAGAATTTTGCGTACTTTGTGTTCTGCCAGTACATTTCACAGGTCCGAATTCCCCCAGTCCAATTAGTTTGATGAGTCAATAAGAAGGACACTGTTCATTGGCACTCATCTGACCAAGTTCACACGATGGTAAATTAACATTCATCTTTTATTGGTTTCTACATTTATAATGGGTACAAAGTATTGGCGGACGAATGTCATCATCTATCAGTGCAAGGAAAACAGGTCAGAACGATTCCTTGGTACAGACTGTATTCTTAATAAAGAGGTAGGCATATTTTGAGCACGTGATAAGTGCATGTAAGCATATACTTCTAGATAGTGAATAGAAGCTTGTCCAGCCTGACTCTCCCGCTCTCGAACAACGCGGATCTGTTACCAGCAGGTCATTTGAATGAACCGTGAAGAATTATTCATAGGATGTGTCTTGTTTGAAAATAAAAGAACTCTGTGATTGTGGATATCCGCTTGACAACTGGTCTCTGAACGGCTCCGGTTAAGCTTAGAACTGGTTGCTCGTCTGTGTCATTGAATCCCGTTAATTCAGTTTGTGCCATTCTACCTTTTTCTCATCATCTTACATTTCCCCGGTGAAACTCTACATCACAATCGTTATTCGAGTCATAATAACAGAAGCATATTTCACGCAAACAGTCCTCAGTACATCGATTCACGGTATGACCTAGCTGGTAGAGTGGTAATGCACACGCATTCCATGCGATGGGTTCGGAGTTCAAATCCCGAACGGGACGATGGATATGCACTAATGATGATGAGCTCTAATAAGAGCGAAACTCGAGTCTAGTGCTTACGAGTGTTTGGTTGAATCTAATAAGACACATCGCAATGTAATACACACATTCGCCAATTGTAACCTTCCAGTCATCAGTGGCTCCACTGTCAAACTGGTAATAATGAATTACACTAGCCATCAGGGGTTCGATCGAAAAACTATCATAAAGCTGACTCGTAGACTATACCATACTTGATAAATTTACTTCATCCTTGAAATAATACAGGTATCAATCCTATGCAATGGGTTACTTCAATTTATTCTTGAATTCTTTTATTTTATCATATCCAATTTCAGCCGAATGTTTCCCAGTTTTCAAGTGCGACTGGGCGGATTGATTCCAACCGATCACTACATACTCGCCCTGGATTTTGACGTGTGCGAAGAGAAGCGCTACCGATATTCATTTCACAGTTCGACTTGGATTCATGCAGGTGAGTACATGGCGAAGCTTGTGCATGTTTGTGTTTGTGTGCGCGCCTTCATCTTATTTCATTTGTCATTCTCACCAGTGTTGAGGGTACAGATGCCAGTTGA